ATGTTTCATCTGCCACCCCCGTTTTTATGCTGGGATGAGGCCAGGGCCTCCAGCATGCCAAGCATGCTCCTGCCCCTGAGCTGCACCCCTTGCTCAGGAGGGGCCCTCTTGACCAGAACTGAGGTTCAGTCCCTGCCCAGAAACCTGATTTCCTGAGGACACGGAAAACAGCCAGGGCACTTGCCTGGTGGAGATTCTTTGCTGTCCCAAGGTGAAAGAGACAGGAGATTTAATCAGGCCCTTACAACGCCACGATTCTCAGGCCAGTCTGAATGGTTTATGGGTACAATGAGTGGAATCTGGGCTAAGATGGAAACGCAGAGCCTAGAGTAGGAAGGATCATGGGAAGGGAACCCCTTTAGAACACACTAATTGAAGTCTCCCACGGGCCAGGCCTGGGCTGGGTACCAAGTTAGAACAACAGATAAAGCCACTTTCATATGCCTTTCTCTTCTGCTGAAAAAGTCATATGTGATCACTTTAGTGAAAAACTATAAGAAATCAGTCAAGAGAATTACACATATGAACTGATCGGTGTAAACCTCCTGCCAATCGCTTCTTGTGCTGGGGTATGTTTTTCACCATCTTTTAATGTTTTTCAGAAAATTTTGATGATGTGATATACTTTCCAGGGTCCTGTATTTCCCTCTAATAATATTATACCAGGAGCATTTTCTAATGTCATGAAATATGCTTAAACATTTTTGGCTTTTTGGAATTCAGGCCCAGGGCTGTGCCTGCTTTTGGACACTGAGCTGAAATTGTCAGGGTGGTCTTTATTTTTCTTGGTATATTTCTGTTTTTTCCTAATTTCCACTGTACTGGGTGGGACACTCAGAAAGACTGTGGGTCCTGAGGGTTGGTGAAAGTCCCCAGTGGCCATGGCTGTATCTGAGCGAGATGGCACAGGAGCATCTCCCAGGAAGGCGAGGTGGGGCCTGAGAAAGTCTCTGGCTTCTGAGCCTAGGATCCCCGGCTCTTCCCTGCGGGCCCGTGGAGCCTCAGTTTACCCCGTAGTGAGACTATCTCAGGCACATCCAGCCGGGCGCTTCTCACAGCCTGTCCCACGGGATGCTAGGCCACAGAAATCTCATGATCAAGTTCCCCTGGAACCTGCCC